AATGTCTAGCTTGATTGCAAGTTGGAAGCCTTGCAAACACAAGTTGGTATTCGATGTTTATGCAATTTGAGTCATAAAAAACAGATAAAGTGAGTTGAGATAGCTAATGCATTTTTTGCAAGAAGCATGTGTGGTTTTGAGATTAGAAATCCTCTCTCATGCTTGTAAATGCTAATGCCATGCAAATAATCTACTAGAAATATCAAAATTTAGACACTAGAGTAGCAAGTGATTTATACAATTTGGAGAATTCAAGATGTGCATCGTAAAATATTTGAACATTTGGAGCAGTTTATGCATGCATCACATGCACATACCCTTTACAAGATGACATAGAGCTTTTTGTTACTCTCTATTGATAATGAAACAAACCACAACTTACCGCAAACACTTTGCATGATTTTTCAATGAAGATCTCATTATATGTGTGGAAGTAGCTTGAAAGTGACAACTCACATATTTTTTTATGTAGACGTTAATTCTTTGTTTGTGATTTATAGATTTTTTTTCATTTACAATAACAATCTATATCAAAGCAAGCATGCAAGCTACGTACCTACAGTCTGTTATACAGAGAGACTCATGAGTAAAAGGAATCAAGAAGGAGAAAAATTAGGACAGAAGTAAGATTTGCAAAGGACTTTGAAGATTTGTGTGAGTTTAAAATGAAAATTTCTTGGTCAATGTTGAATGATGCCTAACCATGCAGCCTCAAGTAGTCCTTCATGGAGTGATTTGCAGTCAAAACAAAATTCTCACAGTATTCTTAGAGCAAACACAATGTTTAAGAGCAGGAAAAGCTCATCTTCAAACCGGCAATCTTTGCCAAGCTTATGCTTGTGCTAAGAGATTATTTGATGTCGTTTACGTATGTGTTGGTCGCAAAAGAACACAAGACCCTATTTGTTGTCGCTGCTAGTATTTTGAATTGTAAACAGATTATCAACATCAAAATTTTTTGAAGAAGTTGTTACAATTTCACTCATGACAGTGGAAGTTAGTACCTCTTCATTATCTTGATCAAGAAGCAAATCACACTTAGATTGTGAATTATTAGTCTTGAGTGACATGGTGCCTAAACCTTTGTAAAAACTAAGTCATCACAAAGCATGAGTTGGGTGTTGGATTCATTAATGGTATCAGCCAAAATTTAATGTTGCGAGATTTTTAAAACCAATCATTCAAAGAGTATACATCAAGATGTCTACACATCTTGATAAACTCGGCGGAAGAAATTTTAGATATTTGCTACAACAATAATGTGACTGATAATTAAACGTGTTGAATAAAATCAACTTAGAACAAATGGAGCGTTTTAAAGCTTATCAAATTAATTTGACAATAAAAAGTAATTCATTAATGGTATCAGCCAAAATTTAATGTTGCGAGATTTTTAAAACCAATCATTCAAAGAGTATACATCAAGATGTCTACACATCTTGATAAACTCGGCGGAAGAAATTTTAGATATTTGCTACAACAATAATGTGACTGATAATTAAACGTGTTGAATAAAATCAACTTAGAACAAATGGAGCGTTTTAAAGCTTATCAAATTAATTTGACAATAAAAAGTAATTCATTAATGGTATCAGCCAAAATTTAATGTTGCGAGATTTTTAAAACCAATCATTCAAAGAGTATACATCAAGATGTCTACACATCTTGATAAACTCGGAGGAAGAAATTTTAGATATTTGCTACAACAATAATGTGACTGATAATTAAACGTGTTGAATAAAATCACCTTAGAACAAATGGAGCATTTTAAAGCTTATCAAATTAATTTGACAATGAAAAGTAATTTTGGTGTTAGCAATGACTTGTCTTTTGAAAAGAATTGGAATAATATGAAAGAAATATTTTATTTTATTTTATTTTATTTTTATCATTTGACGTGACACTCTACGCCATTTTTTTAACATATTTCTAATTGAATTGAAACTTTTGATGCTTAAATGAAATAAAGATGAGCATCGCAAGACAATGTCCAACTTGTCATCAGAAGATATCATGCAAACTAAGCAATTTGCAGCTGTTTGAAAGATGAAATAAGTGGATTGGCAACAATTTTTTTATTTTCGTCACTAGTAAATAGCAAATTCTAGAAATTTACCAAAATTAAACAAAATAAGTCAAATGATACACCAAAATTATCTAATTTTTTTAGTTTTGATAATTATCAAACTTAAACCAGCCTGCACTATGTTGTTGTAGCATTGATTTAGTAAATCAATCACAACAAACTAACGGCCTTCACATTCAACATTCTAGCATTTTTCACTATCTTTCAATCCTTCATTGACATTTACATTAATCTAAAGAGCAAGGTTTCTAACTTCTGTGCGATCATCTTCATCCATCAAGAGCAAAAATTGAAAGCTGTGAGCATCAATCTTGATACTCAAGATCTGTTGTATTTTTATAATGAGTTTCAAAAATTCTTTAGTACCATGAAGAAGAAATTTGAAGTCCAGATTTTGAAACATGGGTATCACCGCTGTCAAAGATATCACTAAAAATACTTTTGATATATGATATCAATTATTCCAAGAAATTACAAAATACAAACATAGAAAACACCAACACATCAAAACATACACATGATTGCCAACACATAAATTAGTGATATGCCACAGCTAATCTACGATCACATGAACAATCAAACAGTTTTTATTGACTAGAATCCTAAAGTGTTAAAGGAAAATTTTGGCAAAACGTAAAATCCTAACTAGGGTTAAGCTACTTGAGATAAATAAAACTTGGGTTAATACTAACAAGTTTGACAAAGATTTTTATTTTAGATTAAAAAATTTATATCGTAAGATATAAGATTGAATCTTAGAATCAATTTTTTGATTTAGCAAAAATCAAAGGATTAAATCTTACATCCAAAAATTTTAAACTCTAAATCACAAATTATAATTTTCAAATCTATGATCTCTTCAATTTTTGTTGACAAAGAAAAAATAAAATCAAAGATGTTATTATGTTTATGTTATTGAATTAAATATATATGATCCAAAATTTACATCATGTGCCTATTTTTATAATGATTGACTTGTTTACATGAGTGAAAAAAAATAGATAAAAAAAAACAAATCTATAAACTTCATGATTTGACAAAATAAGATGATCATCATGAAAATTGAAGAGATATATTTGTATTTAATCAAATGCAATGAATGTGTGACGACTGTACATTATGTTACAAACAACTCAATCGAGAATTGTTTGTACAATATGTTGAGATCTAAAACCTTCATTTTTGAAAAGAAAGACTCAAACACCAAGTTAAGAATATTGTTATAATACATTTATAACTTTAACTAATAAAACAAGTGGTTGCATATGTTAATTATATTATTCTATTTGAAAGTCTTGAGTGACATTTAATTGCAATGAGTTGATTAATAAAATGTATGATTTTTTGAAGTTGATGAATTTAAAAATGAAAATTTGTGTACAAGCATAAAAACTCAAACTCATGTTTTTGATGATATTATAATTAATATTAAAAAAATCCTAAACTATCTTCTGTTTATTTATCAATTATGTCATATGTGTTTTATTATAATAAACAATAGATCACATATACAATTACTTACATTAGATTGAAGTTGCATATGTTTTTTATTGATTGATGATGTTCGTGTTTTTTAATCTTTACTATTTAGAAATGATTTTTAGACAATTATGTTCATAGAGCAATAAAGGTAGTAAAATTTGATATTAGAAGATAGATTTTAGTCTAGGTATTAATCCCAACACATGCTAATGATGGTTTCTGAAAATATAACATGAATGAACATTTCCAAAAATCTACTAGTGTGAAACCACAGTTGATGATGAGTCTTTAATCATTATGACTATATTTGATCATAAGAAGTACAAATTTTATTAAGAAATAAACTTTGAATATATATAATTCAATTTATGATATTAGAATGAAAATATATGTATTTTAGAATATAATTTTGACACTTTTTAACATAGAGTGTTATCATAATTTCTAACAAAATTTTATCTATAATTGCCTTCTGGACTCTTAAAATTTGATTATGTCGAAATTCAAATATTTTCTGAAATTATATGTAGATTGACTCACATCATATTTATATCAAGTTTGAAAATTATAAAATTCAAAAAATTCTGGACTGGAGTTTAAAAAAGAGAATCTTTAAAATAATAAAACGTGAACAAATTACTTCACAAATAAATAACCATAGAAGATTATATATATTAGAGACAAGTTTTGTAAATTGAAATATTTTGAGTAAATTGCTATGATCTTTTAACTCATGTTAGTCTAGTTAATATGATTAGTATGGATCTTTGATTGTATAAAAAACTTGATTGTATTTCTCAAAAGAAATTTTGAATTTTGAATATATTGTTTATGTAATCTTTGATGTAATGTATATATAAATGAACAATCTATTGCCATTTTGACTTTGTTCAATTGTTTTGTGTTCATGATGTCTACCATTTTGTTCAACTATTTTTTCATTAAATTTCATCATTGTGTATCATGATTTAATATTAATTTAATATAAATCCAAAATTTTGTTCAAACACATTATTGAAAAAATTCTTTTGAATAAAAAATTAAATACATACATACGAATATCTAAATTTGAGATCTAGACAATCTATGAAAACAAGAGGAGTCATAATCACAACCTTGGATGGACAACAACAAAACAATCACATGCCAGCAGTGTGTGAATTTAACGCATGATTCAATGGCAAGTAGAAGATATAATTTTCTCCGAAGAAGTTAAGTCAAAAGCTACATGATAACTACTGATGAATGTAGTAAACATATCAGCAAACTGAATGCTTTTGACTCCATTTTCCTTCACAACTCTTTCTTAATTAATGGTTCCAATCAAAACCTAGAATCTTCCATGACTAGCTTTTAGAACCTCAAGCTTTCCTGAATGCATAGAAACACCGACTTCAGCGAGGTCTCCGTTGACCAGTTTCTTGTTCGCAATGAGGAGTCCGCAGAAAAGGGACTATTTTGTACGTCGACGAAAAGGGTAATGATGCGACGGAGGGACGCATGAGTCTCAAACATGCCCACAACGCGCGAAACCGACCGTGAGAACCGACGACGATGAATATGGAGGAGGTGGTGAAGGCTGCAGAAGAGCTGGTGCACAATGTGATGGGCAAGTGGGATTCGTCCCATGATCCGTTTCACGTGTACAGAGTTCGCAATCTTGCACTGTCTTTGGCAGCTGAGGAGGGCCTGTCTCCCGAGAGCTGTGAAATTGTAAGTACGGGCCGCAGCCGGCATCTCAAGGACCTGCGTTCAACAGAATGATGAAGCTCTGTCTTGCGCTCTGTTTTGGGTGCCTTTCTTGAATTCTCGTCCTGTTCAGACTCACTGAACGTTTCCAGCAGGTGGAGCTTGCAGCTCTGCTCCATGATATCGGTGAGCTCATCAATCGACCGCTTTTCTGACTTTACATTATTTGCTTTTAGTCCAAATATCAATCACACTCTGAATCGTACTTGATTTTCCTACTCTTGTCGTGCAGACGACCACAAGTATGCGTCGAGGTCAGCCGTCACTGCCTGTCTTTGTGAATGGTGTCAACCTTTCTCCAGAGGTGAATCCTGAGGATTGAATTTCGACGGAGGCAGCAAGACAGACTCTGCTGATGAGGAGATGCAGAGAGGAAGTTGGAATGATCAGCTTTTGTGGTTGGGATTTGGCAGGGATAAACGAGTCGAACCGACCGCAGAAGAGTTCTTGGCTCAGCATCGGATTGAGCCAATTAAGAAAGAAGCCGTCATGACCATCATTCAAAGCATGGGTAAATAACCCTTAGCTCAACCGCATTCATAATCTGCCAAGCAAAAGTCTGCTTTAAATTATTGCAGATCTACAACCACGCTCAAGATCATGACGAAACTCTGTATGCTCACAATCAGATGCGAATCTCCTTTCCAAATTAGAGGTATCATCCCCAGCATTGTAGTACACCGACTCCAGAACATTGAAGTTGACTAGCATGTTGTTGGTTCTTCTAATCGGTGACCGAACGCTATATACTCGATATCGATATCAGACAAGAATGTACTGTATAATAAGCCTTCGTCTCATGGCAGGGTTCAAAGAAGAGCTGAATGCTTCTTCACAGTGGAAGTACTCTCCCGAGCTAGCAGTCGTCCAAGACGCAGATCGACTGGATGCAATTGGCGCCATTGGTAGCTTCTCATCTTTTGTATCGAATCGCTATCAACCAATTTCTTGCTCTTAAGTTAACTCATGTTTGTCCTGTGCTTTTAAAAGAACAGTGTTTTTAGGACGTATCCAGGCATCAGAGAAACTCGTGCTTGTCAATGGTCACTTTTCCTTCGTAAGGAAGCGCTCTCTCTCTACTGAGCGTGCAATAAAGTAAGGCCGGGGGTAATTCAAATATAAAGACCAACTGCCATGCTTTATTGACTCCGTAGAAGGCAATGCCGATGACTTGAATGACTTCATGCTGTCGTGTATGATGCTGGAAAGCTTTGCCTTCAGTTTTCGTGTGCTTGATATCTCCTTGCTGCGGTGTTTGGTCCAACAACGTTCGATGGAGAGCATCTCGTTCGGCTGCGTCTTGTTTGTTAAGGACTCTGGTTGTGAAGTCTCAGCTTCTACCTCTCATCTGATTAGCCAATATGTACGCAGGCATAGGCAGGACTTTTACATTTGGAGGTGCAAGAAACTGCCCGATGTTCGATCCTGATGTACTGCCTCGTACTAAAATGACGAAAGAGGAGTATGTATCCACTAAAACTACAACTATCAACCACTTTCATGAAAAGCTTCTGAAACTCAGAGACCTCATGAAGTCACAGGTATAATGTACCGCATCAAATGCAAGATTTGTCAAGTAAATCGTAGATTTGCTATGATCCAAGAGCATGAAATATTTTGCTCATAGTTGCACTTCCAGGAACTCATGGTTTCCTCTCATAGAGCAGACATGTCTATAATCGAGTACGAATCTACCTGACTGACGTGAAACAACGAGTCCTTACGCAGGCAGGCAGAAGACGGGCAGATGGTCGCCACAAGTTCATGGAAGACTTTCTCTCCCAATTTGAGAGTGAGTGGAAGGGGGAGCTATGATCCCCGACAGAACCAGTTATCTAGCACGTTTTACCAGTTTCGTAATTATGTTCATGCGCCGCAATGCATGGGAACTTTCATGACATTACGCTGGTACTTGAAGTAACTGTATTTGACGTCAAAGTTAAGGACACGTATTGGTGTCAATCTTGAGAACTTCACATTTTCTTAAAGCGAAGATATTACCGAGAGTTGTTTGCAGAATCCCAGGTTGTCAGAGGATTAAACCTCTTTGAAACTTCTTGAATAATCTGTGAACCTCAAACGGGATGACTTCAGGAAATCTGAATTTTTACCTGAATCACAAAGGTCACCAAGACAACCATGAAGATCCGAGTGGCTAAATTCTCTTAGTGTCGGTGAGTAAGCAAGAAGGTAATTAGAAGCCCACTGTTGTGATCTTCCACCTTTTATTAAATGAAAATTGGTTTGTACCGATATGTGTTGAATTTCAACTGGACATAGGAGATGTTGGCAACAATATGATTATCATTCACGATATGTTCCTAATCCTTATGTTTACAATTACGTTGAATTTTCACTCAAATATGTCACATTTTCTGTACAACATGTACAGCAACAAATCGTGCACGTTTTAACCTAAATGAAGTGAAGATGAATGCAAAATCGTATTCTAGTTCTTTCTGAATCAATACCTTCCAGGTTGGATTAGATCTTTTATATACAACAACCCTGGCATACTCCTGCAGCTAAACGCGAACCCTCCTCAAAAAGTTGTCCATTAATTCGTTACACTAAAGAACATTAAAGGGCTTGGGGCCCTTTCATTACTGGCTCCTCCCTGGAAAATCAAACAAAAAAAGGCTTTTAAGAAACGCAGTGCACACTGGGCAAGAATGAAAGGCACGGAGACTTCGAACTTCCAAAAGCTTACTCCCATGTCAATTTTCGTATGATAAAATTTATAAGATTTGTCACAGGATAAGAGACATGAGATACACAAGAATGGAATTCGGGCATTCAATTGGCAGTAAGACATACAAGACACCAAAATGCTAGGAAAGGGTTTAATTGAAGCACGAATCTTCAAGAAGTTCACACATTTCTTGACCTGCAATTTGTTTTACTATCTGGACCGAGGGTTGAATCCACCTCCGATCCATCTTAGTACAACCTTCCCCTACACTTACGGGCACCACATAAACAGTCCTTAGTTTTCTGTATGCCATCAAGTTTCACTGAATTCACCACATACCCGTAATCATAAGTGAGCTCCTTGAAGGGACTGATTTTCTCCATAGCAAACAACATGATGTGCGGGAACCGCATGTCATGATGCTCATAGAACACACACTGCACAAAAAGGTTCCCATCACAGCTATGATTGATGAATCTTGCCACGTTCCCGTACTGCCGTGCATCAATCGTCCAGCTGTCGTAAGTTTTATAGTCTTTCTCACTCTCGTCACCCGAATCACTGACGTCTTCTACAAGACCTGAAACATCCCCAAAGCGCTTGCTCTGACTTTGGGGAACGTTCAGGTCGAAGAGGTAGTCATCCGATGTAACTCGTTGTTCTGCTTCAGAGGTATGAACAACCTCACCAATGTATTCACAAATGAAGCTCCCCTGGGGTATGAAGTTACTTGATCGGACGCCCCACCCTTTGCCTTCGGTTTTAAAGACTTCTAGATCATACCGAATCCCTTTTTGGCTGACTCTGTTATAGCAATCACTCTTACAAGAGCACTTGGGACCGCACTCGAAGATAGCTTTCTTGCCTCTAACAAGAGAGCCGCTCTCGTTGTAAGGAGGTTCGCCATGATTCCACTTCAGACAGAAGCACTTGTCCCAGCACAAGCTTGTGCAGGAGCAAACTTTGGCGGGCTGGAGTTTTACACCCACAGGGTACTTCATTTTCACCATGTATTGAAACTTCTCGGGCAACTCCACACCCTCCCTGCCTACAACACGCACCTTCACCGACTCTTTTCCCAGAGAGATGTCCTCCATGAGCACTTTCTCACCGCGTGTTGCCAAAATTGGAGGAAGGCTGGAAACTCGATTTGATAATCCCATGTCAGTTGACAGAGGTCCCTGGCCAGGCCTGCGGACAAGCTTATACTTCCAGACTTTGTAGCCGGCAGACCCCGTCTCTTGGTAGCATTCTTTGACGTCATACAAGCCATCATAATAATAAATTTTCCCAGATGGGCTCGAGGCACTTCCTGTTTTCTTCACCTCGCTCCCTCGTATCACACGAACAGCAAGACCTAGATCACAACAATTTTTCAAAGCTAAATTTCCCCTAACCAGCTCCTGATCTGTCACATTTCTCTTGTCACCTTTGTAGTTGTTGCCACCTTGACCAGTGTAGATCAGAGTTTCACCTTCGTCATGATCATCCTCGTAACCTCCCGAGGCAATGACACTAACCGCTACTGCAAGGGGATTACCGCGTTTGTCGAGGATGGTGCTTTTGCTTGCCGGGATAAAATCAATTCCTCCTTGTGATTGCCTATGAAGAGATATTATCAAAAGTTCCATTCGATAGTAGAAGTGATCCCCGACTTTCACACCAGGTACTTCTCCCAAAATGCTCTCCATACCATTCACCCTGTATCCCTTATCCATCAGAATACTAGAAGCTCTGAGATCAGCTCTCTTAGATGTACCCTTTTCCACGCTCTTTCCATGGTGTTCTTCTTCCCGGAGGAAATGCCGCCGAAGATTGTCGAATTTTTCCAACACTTCTTTGACCCGAGTTCGAGGATCCGTAGATGAATACTTATGTTGCTCATCCTGTGTGTTGTTACTCTGGCTCCTCTTCATGACTTGTTTCTTCTTCTCTGCAGACTTAGAGGTGGAAGCCTCAAACCGCCCAGGACCAGCTCCTCCAAAACGCCCAGCACTAGCTGCTACACGAACGACAGACAATTCCGCTTGTACCTTCTTAGCCAGAGTACGCCTGGCCTCTGCTTCATCCCGCTCAGACTCAGAATCAGACAGAACTGTGACAGGATCGGTGCGCTTCTGCAACTTCTCCAACGCAGCTGCAGGTCTTTCGGGCACTGGAGCAGCTCTACATCCACGAATTCGCATACCTGGTATTGCGTCTCTCACAGCATATGGCTTGGGTAATCTCTTTCGCGCTTTGCCTTCTTGGACAGCCTTTGGCGTACTCAAGGGAAATGGAGGGGGTTTATAAACCACAATTGCCCAGTTTCGAGGGTCATCTATGGAAGTTTTCTGTTTCTTAGCCGTAGCGGTTCGAGGTTGTCTTGCAGGCTTGCTCGCAAAAATCTTCGGACGCGATCGGTAGCAACCAATATGTAGCTCCCCGTCCTTTCTTTCGATGCTTCCTCTCATTTTCTTCACTCCCGTCGCTGCTGGGGAAACGACTCGCGTTGGAGAAACTGACTCGATATCCACGTTCTCGTCCCCCACGGGCTCCGATCCGGGTGCGTGTCCAGCCATCTCTTCCAATTCACACAGCGCTCACGCCGTGCTCTACAAAACTGCCGCTGTTTCCTTGTGCCTCTCACATCAAATCCAGACGGCGCAACATTCGCGGGACCAGATCGACGACACTTGGCCCGTAACAGGATCCAAACTTCCAACAAACCGAGACAGGAAACAACAAAGTCAAACCTCACCCTCCTCCGCCGCCAGCAGCGAAGACGATCCCAGGCCGCTGCAGCCTCAGGTCCTCGAAAAGAATTGCACCCACCATCAACACGCGCTCCGGCTCTGCGGCGCGATAAAAATTCTCCCGTCGCCCGGCATCGGCATCTCTCTCACCCTCGCTCCGCTACAGCGACGCCGCTCCCAAATTGCGCCCACACGAACCATGAGCAGCCAATCTTTCCATTCGCCCGCCACAAATCACACCACCCTCCCGTCCACTCTTGCCGTACTCGCCTCCTCATCCTCGTCCTTCTTCCACGCCCTTCCACCACTGCCTCCTCGATCCCTCCATGTCTTGCCGCCCTCCCCGCCCTCCTCCGCCGGCATCATGGCGCATTCACGCACTGCCTCGTCTCCTCCTCCTCGGCATTCACCATGCCCCCGATTCTCCCCCTCGTAATCCTCCCGCGCAACTGCTAATCAACCGCCATCTCTGCGATCGATCCAGCTCCCCTGCGGACAGCCAGCCAGCCAGCCAGCCAGCCAGACAGCCCGACCGACCGACCGACATGCGCACAAGAGCGAAGAAGAAGAAGACTCCGACAGCGACGACAATTTCCGAGTCCTTCTCACACACTGCGCCAAATCGGGCGCAAATGGGCGCCTAATTGCGTCCTCATCCACCGGCCCAGCCCCGAGCCCGACGGCCGGCGCCAGCTCCTTCAACGTCTGCCGTCTGTCCATCCTCTATCCGTCCGTCGCTCGAGCGCGCGCGCTCCGCCATGTTCCGTCCCGTGGGGTGGGAGCGCCAACTAGCCAGCCAGCCAGCGCATGAGAGACGACGACGGAGGCGGAAGGCGGGGCCGCGAGAGAGACGACTATGCCACCCGAAGAGAAGTTTGTTGTTGGCAGGCGATTTCCGACACGTGGCGAGCTGGATAGTCGGAATCGGTATTTTTTTTAGGTTCTGATCGCCGGGTTTCCTTTCGGTATCGCTGCTTCTTGCTGTCCTCCTCGTCCTCCTCCTCCGTCGTCGCCTGAATGATGACACTCGCAGCTCGTTCGTTCGTTCGGTCGACTTCCCGGCCGGGCCGCCGATTTTTTCCACGGGTTCCGGCTGTCGCGCACAAACTCGTCGTTACTGTTTGGAACTGTGCGCCGGCCTCGCCCGTTATGGCCTTCGTCCGCAGTCCGTTGACTGCGGAGCTCGGTCCATTTCTCCTCCTCGTCCTCCTCCCCATGCCGCGGACGAACAAAGAGGTTTCATCGTTCGGTTCGCCCTGAACTCAGCATGCAAGTTTCTATTGATTTTCCAACGACAGACAACCATATCCCTGAGTGTATCTGGGTTATATTATACGAAAGATTTCTTGCTTTCACAGCGATGAAGATATGCTTCAGTGGTGTGATTCCGCGTCTTTCCACAAGTCTGGTCTCTTGTTGATAAATTTGGACTGCGATATCTATAAGAAAAATATGATGCATTATGTGAATGATTAAACACTGTACCCATGAAACCAACCAGACGGGGATGGAAATACATTCTCGCAACAGTAAAGCAAGTTTGAAATTTTATTTCTGTCCAGTTTTCTTCTTGCCAAAGTGCATTAGGATATCTTGTTAAGCAAGGGGTAAGACACATAAGGTTTTTCTATTTGTGTGGGATGGGGAAGAATCTCGGTAATTTGGAGCTATATCGATAGTCACATTTCCATTCATTTATATAGTAGAGATGTCATGGTTGAATATAGCTGAAAGGTTGGAAAAATAATAAATTCAGCGATTATGATAAATACAGGTATTGAGATGTCATGGGAACATTTAGTTGTGGAGGTGGCAATAGTAAATATAATGATGATGGTAAGTTTATTCATGTAGATGTCATTCAAACTTAATTACTATTTGTGTAGCTCATTGAGTTGTTTATTTTAGAAAAGTGGTTTCATTGATTTATAGAAAGCACAATAAACGTATAATCACCTAAGATGATGTAACATCATTCCATGTTGTTTGCAGATAGTATGGAGGTATTCTCAAGCCGGGAGTTCTGTGCCACCGAGAAGGCCCGGAAGACCAATTGCTTCTGCTACCGGAGTGATCGCATGGAAGGCCTTATTTAGGGCGGAAGGAGCTGCTACTGACGGAAGATTCGATTTCAAAGATCGACTGTTCAGATTATACTTCAGAGTCATATTTATCTATTTAGGGCGGAAGGACATGTAATTAACTGACTGGGGGAAGACATGTAATCTTCTCAGCTTCCACAGGGATGAAAATGATGAAAAATATATGTATATTTGCAAAGATGAAAACGATATAGAGTTATATATAATATTATCTATAATATGAAAAAAATATTCAAATAATTGATAATTACGTGTAGAATATCAAGGATTCAGTATTAAAAAAATTTTATTCTGTTCAGAAATACGCAATTACATTGTGTGTGGAGCTTACAAAGATCTATTTGTTTGCAACCCAACATTATATAAAATGTATTGAAATTGTATGTATTTTTACAAATATAAATCAACATTTCAGAAATAAGTGTGCTGTCTATTTAGAAAAAAAAAGTAAAGCTTGATAAAAAATTATATAAAAACAAGTAGCTGATAAACAAAATAAAATTAAAATAAGTTCAAGAAATGGCCCCAAAAAATAAGAGTTTACATGTAAATATGTTTTCATCTGAAAATTTTGATATTTGATTATTGCAATAAATGATCAATATATGTTACACACAAAAACCTGAGAGCAAATTGAATGTATAGTATAATCATATCAAGTTTAACACAATCTTCAAACAAATGTAGATGTGTGGATTGTATAATCAACATAATAATGAAACAATCATCTTTGATTCATAAGTAATGGATCAATCAGGAATATAAATATAAAGTGGATGTTAACAGATTTTGTACATTGAAATTATAAAACTTGGTTTTATTTTAGATATCTTTTACTAGAATATGGTTTGCATCTTGGATCAAAATGATTAATACTATAAAACTATCTAGATTGATATGCACATCATAGGATATGTCATTTGGATGAAATTTTCTTTTGTCAAAAATGTTCAAAACATGTATCTTCTACTCTTAGATAACATTAGGTATATTGTTTTTAACTTTTTCCATATTGTATTTGTATGCTTAGCTTATAAGATGTTTGAAGATGAATATCACAAAATAATAATACCAAATCAACAAGAGATTAACTTTTTGATTTGGTGAAAAGCAACAATAATAGCAATATTTATTCAACGAATGAGAGGTTATTAATACTACATTTTTTTAATCAATAAATGACATTACTAAAACATGAACAAAGTTGATGTTGAAACTGAAGAAGTATATAAAATCATTTAAGTTCAGTTCTAGGCAAGGAACATAATATTTAAAATTCATAAAAAAATATATATTTTGTAAAAGTCACCAAGGATAGATTAAATCATTTGAGGTCGAAGACTATGATTTTTTCAACGAAACATAAAAAATCGTTTGTCTTAATCTAAAAAAGTATACAAATATTCTATTAATATTTTATCTACAATAATGAAAAATCTTTGAAATAGATATAAAAATAAATTATTCAAATTGATCAATACACGAATATAAATGAAATATCTATCAATTGTTTTGAATTATAAATCTAACATTTTAAACATTGTATATTAATGAATATTATATTTATATTCAATCAAATTCAGATAATATAATTCTAGAAGCTTGAAGAGTTGATTTTAAAATTAATGATTGTAAATATTATATACAACAATATATATTCATATAATGTATAAGAGAACAATAAATATCATGCATGTTAACTTTGTAGACGAGGCATGGAAAGATTCGGTAATCCTTCAGTCAACGCCAAAAAAAAGTTGTAAACAGGAATGTGTACAATGTACTTCTCAAAGTTATCATGGTAGGCCATAACTTCACGGTCAAAGTCAAAACGAAGGGAATCCATCCAGATTTCTCTGCCTAGGACTTTTAGTCGAAAAACACTACGAAACTGTAATCCATTGACATCATTGGAGACGTTAGCATTGTACAAATGTCTTGGGTAGCTGTTGGAGAATCTGGTTCAGTTTGTAAAAGAGCAGTTTTTTAAAGATTATGAAATGAAAACGGTTGAACGAGAGGTGGAAAAATGCAGAACGTAAAGATTATGAAATGAAAACGGTTGAACGAGAGGTGAAAAAATGCAGATAGTAAAGATTATGAAATGAAAACGGTTGAACGAGAGGTGGAAAGTACATCTGAAGCAACACATTGGCCAGAAATTTGGAGTTTGGTTTTGCGGTTGATGCGGTCGTGCAGATATTTGTAATTGATCTTTGTCGACAGAAGAAGGGAATCATAAGCTTGAAGAGGGCAGAGCACGCAGGAGCAGAGCATTTCAATGTCTGATTTGAGGTGGAAGGATTAGTTCGAAGTTTGGAATTCTCGTACAGTTCAAAAGTTGACTCGTCAATTTCAGCATGTGGCAATTTCGACGTTGCTGTAGGGGAGTCGAGAGGAAACGATTAGCAACGGTTTATTGAGACCCTGGAGTTTTGTAGGTAGGCGAACAAATGCCGTGCTGAAGAATGGCGGTCGAGAAGGACCTAGAGACTGTTCAAATGTTCTGAAAAATGGAGGTACAACCTTTGCGAGGAGAGCGGTTCATGTCGGAGGATATGTTCAAGCCACTGGAACTATAGCAAGCCCTCACGGAATTTCACTTATTTCTTCTGGACTCTGCGACCTCGATCATTATCTATAACGCCGCCAATTTGTTTCACTTCTGTGGAGCCTGTCTGTATGGCATACGGGATTCTGCTCTTTTGATATGATCGGTCTCTCGTCAAATTTATCAGTCCCTGATGAGAAGTGTGTTATTCCCCTGTGATAGTATCTTAGAATTTGGTGAGTCACTGCTTTGTGGACCTCGTCTGATTTGACGGGGACCAGACGGATGGTGGGGGAGGGATTATCGTGGTAGGAATTTGATGATCACGGAAGACTTGGAAGCTCCTCATAAGATGAACATGGCAGCCTCTACTGTTTGCAAAACTCCTGTCATCGCCGAGTTGTTTCCTCGGTACACTGCCTTATGTTGCAGCCGGAGAGGACAGCAAGAAATCTCGAGCTAGTGCTGATAATAACGTGCCTGTTGCAATATCTCTATCGCCTAGCAATTCTTAAACATTCTCATGCAGAGTTTTTGTGATGCAGAGGTATCAGCTACGTTTATATGAGAGAATAGTTAATCGTTCTCACGATTAAGCGGGACAATATTCAAGCACCTTTGGTGCTTGAATTTTTAAAGTTTTAAGTTTCATTCGATCTTCGTTTCTTCAAAATGTCTTTGGATATCAGCTGTATATTTTCAGTCCCTTGTTTACAGAACGTGAAGAACAGGGATGAGAGTTAGTTTTACATGTTAGCTGTCAAAAAATCAACTTGTGTCAACGTTGATTTTGTTCTTGTTATTTGTTTTTAAAATGAGTGATTTTTTTAGTATATTGAGCTGATATTTAGGCTTTTCATTTGAAACTGTTGGAATCAGCGAGTATAGGATTGCGTAGGTAGATAGTACTTCGTGGAGCTGCAAGAGCTTGCAGACCGTAGACTCCGACATTAAGAGCTATTATATTCATGATTTGTTACTTCCTTTAGGCAGGAATTCTTCTCCACCGGTAAGTATGCAAGATAATATGCAGTCCTATGCGTGGTTGCCTTGAAGCCTTCGAATGTGTGGGCCTTTGAGTTTTTTTTTCCCCGGTTCTCTCTCGTGAAGG